TGTGGTGCACATGCTTGTGTGTGGAAGTTCTTGGAGGCGTTGTGTCCAGTGGTTCATTACAATTGCATAAACCATTCCCTATATTAGACGCTTCTTTACTTCTATGTGGCAGTGTAGAATGTGTTTACTGTCTTGTGTCTGCTGAATTTGCTCTGATCTGCTGGCAAATTATTCTCCCAATGTCTGGTGGGGCGATTCCAGCCATAGGATATTCGGCCTTCAGACACTATGCAAGGTTGTAGGTCGGATACCACAAAGACATTGACCTTGGCTTGGTTGTTCTTCTCTAACATCAAACACTCAAAAGTAATATGGCCAGGTTTTTTTGCAATAATTACATACTGAATAAGATGACCTGAACCTATCACTACCAGTCTTAGAGTTAAGTTTTTGAAACTGGATTTGGCTCTGCCTTGTCATACTTATCAGCCTTTGATGGGACGCTGGTTGGTATAGAATTGGACTGCATGGAGTATTTCTTACCATGACTAAAAGGAGAACTAGGTTTTGAAAATTTGACTTTGTGAGTTAGAGTATAGTCATCAGCTAGGACTGCAGCTTCACACAGTATTTTAACTCTCTGTTTGTCTAAGTAAATGTTAACATTATCTGGGACACAAGATTTGAATTGCTCAATCAGGACTAGTTGTTTAAGATTTTCAGAGACTTCATTAACACACTTTGATTTATCAAACCAATTTTCCTGATATCTTGCAAATTCAACCTAAGTTTGTTTTTTATTTTTCTTCCAATTCCTGTCTATAGGCCTCATAAGCTTTCAAGATCAGTTGCTTGACATGATCATAATCAACAGCTTATGCAACAGAATAAACTTTGTGTTTTTTACCCAATAACACACTTTGCATTCAGATCCATTTTTCTTGAGGCTGTTCAGAACTTTCTACAACCTTTTCAAAATGTAAAAAATAGTGCTCAACATCTTTTTCCTGAAAAGTGGAAAACAATCATATATTTTTTACATACATCAAATGACTGCTGGGGGGATTTCTTACTGTTTATTTCAATTTCAAGCCTATGGAACTCTATTTCTTTTTCAATTTCTAATGCTTTTAGTTCCATTTCCTCTAGCCTGACCTGATGCTCTAACTCTAATTTTCTCAGCTCAGAGTCTGTGAATCCACAAGTTCTAGTTGATTCATCACATTTATCTAACATTTTCTCATCAGCAAATTGATGTACTAACAAACTCAACATATCAGCCTTTTTCATAACAATCTTAACCCCTAATTCAAGATGTTTACACACTTCTAAAAGGTATTATTTTTCTAAGATTACACATCTTTTCTAAGGCAAGATGTACAATACACTCTTCAAGAAATTTTGCTACCTCAAATGCCATGACAACTAGGTGCTCATAGACAAATCAGATCCTGGACGAGCACCCACTTTCGGTTTTTTTACTGAATAAAGAAATGAAATTCTGGTATGCACAGAATGGTTTATAGAGCAACCAACAAACAGAGAATTTAAGTTGCAACACATTTATCTTTGCATATGAAAAATAATAAAACAAAACAAATAAAAACCACAACCATGTAATAACTATAACATATTCTGACAAACAAGTCTTTTAACAATTACCATAGCTGACTTTGGTATCCCTTTCATGAGGACTGCAATTTATCATTACTATCTGTACTTAACTCAGAATAGTCCAACATAGTAATAAAATATTTCAATATGTTAGCAGATGATGATCCTGGGTTTATAAACCTTTTGGATTCATATAAATGCAAACACGATGATCTTCCGACAATGAAATTCAAGACCAAATTAACTCTTGTCTTCATAAGACTATCCATGACTTGCATACAATTTTCTTGGATTATCATTTAAACACTTTACCTGCCTTTGTATCCACAAACCTCATTTGCATTAGATCTTCATAACAGTGACACAAAACAAAATATAACAACACAATGGTAACAATATCCCCCAAATTTATTTTCACAGTGGTGATATTAAACTGAATTGCATGAAATTTTGAACAAACTTACTTAATAGTATTTAGTTTTGGCTTTAAAAATCTATATCATTTGATTTAGAACTTCTGTTAATTTTCAGATTGTGAAATTCCTAAAATATTGTGGTGAGACACTGACAAAACATTAAAAATACTTCTTTTCATCTGAACATTGAATTTTATACATCCAGTCTCTTTCAAGTAGACTGATATTCATCAGCACATTTCTTTTAATACTTTATTTTGCCAATTTTAATAGTCACGGCTTCCATGGATTTACTTTTCCGATTTGTATCAAACGGAGACATGCAGCAGATCTGCCTGATAAATACTTCCTCTAGGTGATCTAAAAATTGTAATCATAAATCACTGTTAGTGCAAACTTAGTCATTTTTCGTTACCTAGACTTATTAAATATTTTATGTAATAATGACCTCTTATACATTTGAACTGGTAAAATTTTATTTAGATTACATTAAGGCCCTGAACAATTTTAACAAACCCACTTATTAAATGTTCCCCTACAAAATACTTTCCTAATTCAGCAGTTGTCAATGGAATAGATAGATGATTTTATTGTAGTGCTTGTGAGCCACTGTATCTAAGTTTTTCTCCTTTGCTGCAAGAGTGATTTTATAATTTTGCTTTGTTGCATTAAAGCAACATATGTCTATCCAATGTGATCCATTTAGCTAAATAAAACTGTTAACATTTTTCTCGTGCTTCCTACGTACTTTGCTATAAAATACTTGGCAGACAATTTTAAATTAGAGTGACTGCTCTGTTGATGTTGAACTACACCTGGTGGTACGACATCATGTTTGAGGTTCTTCATTTGGTTGCAGTCATTTTTCCCAGGTATGCTGAAAATTGGATAGTCATCTTCTCTTCAGATTTTTTTTGTAACCAAATATTTTATCCTCTGGTCTGATGAAAACAGTTCCTTATGTTCTCTTCAGCCATGCTGAGTCCTGCAACCAGCTATCCTATGATTACCCATATACGTCTGTGTCGTAATCTTGGTATATTGAACTATTGTTTCACCAACAAGACATTTACAGAATGCACTAGTTGTTTTCATCACATGGCAAACATGGTACTAAATTAGCCCATATAATATCCCTATATGGCCTCTCTCTTTATGTTGAATAAATTCCAAGAAATAGGACTTCTACAAAAATATACCTTGCTATTTTGTAATGAAATTAATAATTCTGAAGAAGATACAAAACGTACAGTGATGGCATGTTTATAGATTTTTGATTTTAGAAAAATACAGCTTTATACCATCATTATTTATGGACAGTATGCCTGGAAATACAGTATTATGGCACTCTTCATAAGGTTGTGGAGAGTACTGAGTTGGCCAAATGGTTTTATCTGAGTAGATTTTGAGCACAGCCATATGAAAGAGCAGATCTGTTGTTCTTATTTCTGGACACTTTTGATTTTAGAGGTACTTTTTATTTTGCTATTTAACTGAGCTATTAAAAACAGTCTAGCACAGGTTCATACTCAGCATCCAATCAGTTAACCCTATGAATACATGTGGGTAAAAGGACACATCTCTTCACAAATTTATATTCAAAATTTAAACTACTTTTTTTTTTCTATCAATGTATGATAATAAACTTAGCATCAAAATTTGGTTAATAATTCAAATTTTTATGTTATCTAAATTTCAATTTCTTGATTTCAAAAGAATAGAGTTCAACAAATACTGAAGCTGCACCTTTCTGAATCATATGAAAGAGGCACTATGACTTAGATATTTACAGGATGGAAAAAAAAAATTAACCTCTTCTTGTTTTACTAAAATACCACTATGTTCATTCAATCCACAAGCCCCTCCAGTATCCTCAGTCTCTAACTTTCAATGAAATTGAACATGTTTGTAACTAACAGAAAGAGTATATTATATCTGTAAATCAGATGATTTTTTTTAGTGCTCAAAGCCAACAGTAGAGCTTGATGTGTTTAGATTAAGGCAGTATTGAAATCTGTTTAACCTATTTATTGGTTAGTTAGAAAGCCACATTAATTTTAGAAGTTTGAACATTTAATTATAGTGTCTGATGTATTTTTGTGATATAAAAAGCACATTTAAAAGCTGCATAAATCATTTTTGGACAACCAACATAACGAGAAAAAAGATATTAATTGATTTTACTTTATATTTTTCAGCTTTTACAACAGATTATTTTGCTACAGCTAGCATTAAAGTACGTATAATAAGAGATAAGGGTTAAAGTTTTACTGGAAAAAGTTTTTGATATCCATTTATGAAAATCAAATATGAAAAGAAGTAATTTTATTCTTAGTTTAGTAATACATTCAGAGTTATAGAGGTATAGTTTCAGGATTTTATTCTTAGTTTAGTAAAAGCCACACGTCAATGAAGATAATACATTCAGAGTTATAGTAGGTATAGTTTCAGGATTTTATTCTTAGTTTAGTAAAAGCCACACATCATGAAGATAATACATTCAGAGTTATAGTAGGTACAGTTTAAACTGTACCTACTATAACTCTGAATGTATTATCTTCATTGACGTGTGGCTTTTACTAAACTAAGAATAAAATCCTCTGGATTTTATTCTTAGTTTAGTAAAAGCCACACGTCAATGAAGATAATACATTCAGAGTTATAGAGGTATAGTTTCAGGATTTTTTCTTAGTTTAGTAAAAGCCACACATCATGAAGATAATACATTCAGAGTTATAGAGGTATAGCTTCAGGATTTTTTCTTAGTTTAGTAAAAGCCACACGTCATGAAGATAATACATTCAGAGTTATAGTAGGTACAGTTTTGGATTTCATTCTTAGTTTAGTAAAAGCCACACATCATGAAGATAATACATTCAGAGTTATAGAGATATAGTTTCATAATTTTATTCTTAGTTTAGTAAAAGCCACACGTCATGAAGATAATACATTCAGAGTTATAGAGGTATAGCTTCAGGATTTTTCTTAGTTTAGTAAAAGCCACACGTCATGAAGATAATACATTCAGAGTTATAGTAGGTACAGTTTTGGATTTTATTCTCAGTTTAGTAAAAGCCACACATCATGAAGATAATACATACAGAGTTATAGTAGGTACAGGTTCAGGTACATAGTAGTTACAATAACCAAGCCTGTAAACATAGGGTAGCTCAGTAAACTGTTTTTTCCACAACCATATATGCTGTTAAAAAATTTAACATTATCATTACCTTATATGTTGCTATAAATATATCACTGCAACGAAGACCTCAGTAAAAGAAACTGAAACTCAAGAGTCTACAGTAAGAAGTTATTATTTACACTGTACAACAAAAGATTTGATACTGGTAAAACCTCAAGAGTCTACAGTAAGAAGTTATTATTTACACTGGAGAACAAAAGATTTGATACTGGTAAAACCTCAAGAGTCTACAGTAAGAAGTTATTATTTACACTGGACAACAAAAGATTTGATACTGGTAAAAACTCAAGAGTCTACAGTAAGAAGTTATTATTTACACTGGACAACAAAAGATTTGATACTGGTAAAAACTCAAGAGTCTACAGTAAGAAGTTATTATTTACACTGGACAACAAAAGATTTGATACTGGTAAAAACTCAAGAGTCTACAGTAAGAAGTTATTATTTACACTGGACAACAAAAGATTTGCTACTGGTGAAAACTCACATGATTCGAGGTAATTTGATGGTGCTGATTTCAAAAATGTAGTCAGAATTAGTCCATCACCTCTAGAGTTTGGGTTATTATAATATCTCAATAGTTTATCAGTACTATGTGAAATATCATATAATCAAGCAGTACAATAGATTTTTGCTATGAAAATAAGTTTACTTGGACAGTTTACTGGGGTAAAAGGCATACATTTTTGATAACTTCAAACATTGACTGTATTGTATTGGTGTAAAATTCCAAATATATTGTTCATATATGCCATTTGTTCTTGTTATAATTGTAGCAAATTGCACCACTTTTGCTTCATTCCCATGCTCTCCTGCTCCACCCAGGAATTACAAAACCCTCACATGTTCAGTTTGATAGAAGATTCGAGAAGTCCCCCAACTGAGCATAAAGGGGTGGAGTCAGATGACCCTCTCTCAGTAAGTTGGTCACTTTGCCTCACTCTGCACACCCTCAAAATAAAGTTTGATCTTCTTCCTTGTATCATACCTGTGATATATTGAGATTATGCAAAACTTTGTTTTTTAAAATCTTTTAAACTCTAGTTTTTTAAACATAAATTCTTTTATATTTTTCACAAAGTCATTTGAAATGCTGGCTGCCTCCAGTTCAAGTAAAGTCAGAAAGTGCAAAAATCATCCAAACAGTTTCTGCTACATTTTTGGAAAATATATTACAGTTACACAAAGGAAAAAATCACACAAGGTAAAGGTACTTTACTACCACTATTTTGGGTGTAAAATAGGTGAAGAAGAAAAACATTGGGCTCCATGTGTATGTTGTACAGTTTGCACAGTGACTGAATAAGAAGAAAGCAAATATGCCATTTACAGTTCCCATGATATGGTGCAAGCCCAAAGATAATTTAACTGACTGTTATTTTTGTATGACTAATGTTTCTGGATATTCAGGCAAAAACTAAACAATACATTAAATATCCAGATATTGCATCTGTGATGAAACAATGGGGATGGTCTTCCAGTGCCACATCCACCAGCGAATTGGAAAACAGAAGAGTTATCCTGCAAAAAAGAGAGCGAGTCATCTTCATCCTCTTCATCTAGTAATTCTATTCCTGTGGCACCTCAGCATAAACTGCCGCATCTGATCACACAATAAGAGCTAAAAGATCTGATTCGTGACTTGTCTCTATCAAAGCAGCATGGGGAACATCTTTGTTCTAGTTTAAAGCAATGGAATTTATTAGCTCCAGGAACAAGAGTTTCAATTTACTGAAGTTGCCATCAAAGTCTTGTTTCTCACTACAGCATGCAAGATACTTTGTGTTTCTGCATTAAAGGAAGAATTAGGTACTGAACATCATCTTCAAGAATGAAGACTTT